GGCATCTGTAGGCCAAATTTGGCCAGCACACTAACCAGTTGAATAGCCCTGGTTTAAAGTAACGAGAACAAGACACACAAGTTGGTGCAAAAAGGCACTAATTAAACACAGCACTATGCTGAATGATCTTAAATTCAATACAAGTGATTTGGCCCAATTTATACACAGCATTTTTAAGCAAACAACCTTAAAATGGTCACCTTCCAGAAATGTTATGTGTGAAAAAATATTTAACACTTTAAGATAATAATCAAATGTAACCATAACAATAACATGTACAAAAATCGGAAATAACCATGAGTATGGAATGCAAATGTGAACAACAGTGAAAGTTATGTTACAAACAGCCAGGTATGCAATGAATACCCAGTTCTTGCTTACAGCCAGGACTGTAACACTAATGTAAAAGCACAAGTATTGTAACAAACAGGAGCTGGTTTACATGATGTATAAGGCCACACAGCTGGAGTCATAAGACAGAAAGTCTCTATGCGAATAAAGCACGTTACAGCTGAATTCATAAAGTTTATAATCTGTAAAATGCCTCACAGTGATCTTCACAACAGCTAGATAATTAAACTTACAAATGTCTGAAAACTGTTTCATCTATAAAGTCTGGTCTAGATGATGTGAATTAGAACAAACATCAAATATGATTACTTATAGGTCTATATAATGTACAAAGCTGGGTAAAGGCCCTCTGGGAGCCAGTGAACAGTGCAGAAGCACAGATGGTTTGAGGAGAATGGTGCTGCAAGAAGTGACCAATGCTCTGGCTGACGCTCAAGGCTCAAGGGAAAGATGAGATGGATATACAATCAGACTGTTAGGGGTACAATCGGAATGGAAACTCTGCACTTGCTGCTGAAGACGGGAACATGTCACAAATGCTGTGATGTTGATTCTTCATTAAACATTTAACATATCTAATGTACAGCTACACTATCACAAACAGCCAGGACCATTAAACATTTTTTTTTTAAAATAAACAGCTGAAGTAAAGTCCCCTACATTTCCTTATCATTAAAACTATCTTCCACTTTCAAGCTGCAACAGAAGTCAAACAATGTAATTTTATCAGAAATGTAGCTTAATGCAGAAAGTTGTGTGAAAACTGTGCAGTAAATAATTATAAGTGATGAATGCAGCAAAGTGCTTACAGAAGTGAATGTCTAGCTGTCAAATAGGTGTTCCAAAACAGAAACCACATATGAGTAATGGAAAAATATACAGCTGCTCGTAACACAAAAGCATCTGTTATTTAAAATGCAGTTTGCATTTCCTTTTTCTATCAATGCTACATACAGACTAAGAAAAAAGAGCGTCTTCTTCTTAAAGTCATGCTATGTCGCACTGTTAGTAGCCTTTTGTATAAAGGCAACCACAGTCTTGTTTCAGATGTTTCTCCATTTTGTGTGGCATTGGTAATCATGTCTGTCCCCAACTCTATGTATTGTGTCCAGAATTTATTATCTCTTTCATGCCATGATGCCAGACTGTTCAACTTTTTCTCTTGGTCTTTATATGGCTACCTTCCCCTACACATTTCCTATTGCTGACGTACACCAGTTTTCTTCTCTTGACATACTAAAGAATGTAGCCCACTACTGACGGTAACAACAGGACAATATATAATACAACTGCCCATCCAAAAATGTATGTATATAACCAGAAAGAATAAGATGTTCTTAGTCGCTGGACATTCTCAAGGGTGTTGGACAGTGGTAGGAGAGTCACACCATGGAGGAGAGTGGGGCCTCACCATGCAACATTCCCAAAGCCAACAGTGGATTCATATATCCACTGTGGTCAATTATCATTGTGGAGTCAGTACACAATTTTTGGCTATTTCTGCCTGTAATTAGCACACCTTTTTGTCACCACTGCTACATACTTCACCATAAAACACTACAGTTATTATCAGTAGCTTGTCTTGAACAGAACTTTACCTTCATTAACAGTCTGTCGAAATTCCTCTCTAACATGAGGTGGCTTGAAATGAAAACCTTAAAAGTGTCATAGCAAATTACATTACCTATGCCACTGTTCACTATCAGGAGCCAAAAACAAGACAGCGAGCAAGGAACAGTGCTATCCCTCCCCACCCCAATGCTCCTCTTTAGCACATGTTAATTAAAAGTAAGACATTCATCTTTAAACTGTCATTAAGACATCACTGTGTTAGTCCACACAGTGATGTCACATCATTATCACTCTTGATATCCTTAACAACAACAATACTGACAGGTTATAAAACACTGGCATAGTTACTGTAATTCCTATCACACTTTTAAGGTTTCCATTTGAAGTCTTCTTATATAAGCCAGATGTCCTGCCTCTGTTGCTTACACAACAGCCATAAACATGAGATTTTCTCTGAATAAAGAACACAGCATAAAAGCTGCACTGCTTGTAATACATAATCAGTGCCATAAACTCCAGCACAAAACACTAGAGTAGCCTGTCCTGTATAAAACTTTTCTCTTAAAACAATTTGTAAACTTCCCTCTCTTTTGAATCCCAAATGTTTTATCTCTCTTTTTATCACAGCTACCACAGTACAAAAACAGATCAGTCACCCAGTAACTTGTCATATCCTGAACTTTGCTCTCACTGCAATCTTTACAAATGCCTCTATTATAAATCAGTCTTGTCTCTGTTACTGTTATCACTTCCAGAGACAAAACTAAAGAAAATTATAACATGGTAGTTGTCTTGTCCAGAAACTCTGTTCCTATCTATAACAATCTTTAAAATTGTCTCTCACTTATAAGCCAGATGTGCTGTCACTACTACTGTGAACACTGTCAGAGACATACTCATAAAATAGCTTAATGAGAATAAACTCAAACAGGTCTCACATCCATCACAGTTCAAATTTTCATTTGTGTCTGTTCCTCCTGCATATACACCAGCACTGGTGTCTCTCACTTATAAGCCAGATGTCTTGTCACTACTACTGTGACCACTACCAGAGACATAATCATTGACTAAATAGCTTACCGAGGATAAACTCAAACATGTGTCATATCCATCCCAGTTGTTCATCTGTTTATTTTTGTCTTTTCCTCCTACAATTACACCAGCGCTGCAGGCAGAGTGTGGAAGGGGGTGGGGAAGGTGGGGGTTGTACGATCATGTGCTTTTATTTCTCCAAGGTTGTTCTTAATTACACCATTTCAGTTTTTGCTCTGCATTCACTATATTTCTTTAATATGGCTCTGTAACTGTTGGTACCAGGGCATTTTCTTTAACAAACTGTATGACTGCTGTCAGCCCAAGTCTTCTAATTTTCTCACTTTCAATTCTTTCAGGCAGAAAAAATTTACTATGTGTGATCACCTAATGTCCCTGTGTACCACACCACACATGTTGTCACTGCATGCAGGCTATAGAAACGTGCCTTCTGGTTCTATCATAAAATTTTACTTATATGTTTTACAGAAGCTTTATATATCCTGCCTGTGTACAAGTGTGTATCCTTGTTTTATTAATGGTGGATCCTGTTCTGTTGAAGTGTCTGCTAGAAAATATCTGGAACCAAAAGAGTTAATGGCAAATCTTCTTGTAACTCTAGCAGCTCTCCCAAGACATCTCCCTGTTATCATTTTTCACTCACTAGTTGTAGTAATGGTCCATGTCTCACAGTAAGGCATCTCTGAGCATGTAAACATGTGAACCTCAATCAGAGACAGCTTAAAACAGCTGAATAATCTCAACAAGACACCTGGTAAGGCTGTGTCCATTCATTGTCAAAGTACAGATATTGTCCGTGTGGGTGTTGAGACCAAACCTGGAGTGCCTAAATTCTCCATGCTCGATGTGCTGGAGGTTGGGATTGTTCCCACCAAAGGAGAAATGGTTAAAGGCCCACTGAAGAAGCCAGGGAACTGGAAAGCAGAGCTAGATGAATTTAAACGAGGGCTAAGAGTAGTGACAGGACTTAAAGAGCTCCAGAAGTGAACAGGATGCATTGGGCTTGCCAAGAACAGAGGAGTGGAGATACCATGAAAGGCAGACACTGGGTGTTTGGCAGAGGGTGAAATTATGGGCATGTGCGAACTGGCGGGTGTGAGCGGAGTACTGCCTAGTGGTCCACAACTTAAGGGTGGCACCCCCAGAGTAATAGGGCTCGGCTTTGGCTTGTTGGTGGAGGAGGAGACTGACGTGGTTGAAGTCGTTGCAGATGAAAAGGATAATGAAATGCTGGTTATATTATCATTTCTGTTGATGCCAGCTGAGGGTAATGGCGTAGTGGATAAAGATGGTGGAACTGGTGATGCTGAGGGAGTTAGCTGCAGTGGTGGTGGGGGTGTTGTGGAGTTGAACTTTCAAGTTCATGGCTGTCAACTGAGGAGAAACATTACTTCGATGTGGCGAGTACTCTCTCTTGACCTGATCTATGACAGGACTTGCACTGTTACCCCTGGGAGTGTGCACTCGTATTTCAGGGTTCAGGCAGTCACTGCCCACAACAGTGACTGCAGAAGTTGAAACTTTCAAAGGCTCTCTGTCACGATAAGAAGCTGGCTCTCTGTCACGATAAGAAGCTGGCTCTCTGTCACGATAAGAAGCTGGCTCTCTGTCACGATAAGAAGCTGTGTGCTGCTGTGTCTCAACATTCAAAAACACAGGCTGCCAGGCACTTCTGATGATGTGGCTGTTGCCTTCAAGTTCATTATGCTGTATGAGATGAGCATGGGCATTTGTATGGGGAGGGTGAATGTGATGTGATATATGCATATAATGGGGAAGATGATGGTGCTCTTGACTGAAGGAAGCTGATGTAGCTACAACTGTCGGAGGTGTGTTGCTTGATGAGATGGGAGGCCTATAGGCATTAATATTTTCCTTTATCTCTCGTTGCTGCTCTTTTTTAACCAGGTAATAGAATGTAGGTGAATTCAGCTCTGGATCGGATGCTTCACGCTGTTCTATGGTTGGGCTTCTGTCATTTCTAGGTGAACATTGATGATGTTGTGTCTTGATTGTGCTGTTTTTCAGTTGTGTGTTTTAGAGCAGACTCTTGGCTGGCTTTGATGTCATGAGCACTGTAGGAGGCAAAGTGAGGCAAGACTCTCTGTCCGTAGTTGTGAGCTATAGATTCCATCTTCACCTGTGGAAATTGTAAAGGTTTAGTCAGACAGTGACAAGTAAACACTATGTACTGAAAAAATAACTAGAAATAGAAACAAATTATATTGCACAGAACAAAGCAAGCATTATATAGTGAAACAATAACACATAGAAATATATTATGAAGAAACAATAGAAATAAATTATAAATACTTACTTTGACACAACAAAGCAAACACTACAAAGTGAAACAATAATAAACATTAAAAAAATCATAGTTACTTTCACAGAATATGGCAGGCAGTATATACTGAAAATAACAATAAATATAAGCAAATTATAAAGAGTCACTCTCACAAAACAAAACAGCAGTACTAAAGCAATAAGAAAAATAAACAAATTATAAAGGATTACTGTAACAACCCATTTTCTCCTTGAAGATAACTACTGGAAGTAAATTATTTATGACAATCCAAATGCAGTGTATTGATTCTTAATTGTAATGTTTGCATGGTTATTCCAGTCTATGATCAAGGCAAGCGTGGAGTTTGTCAAAGGCATGCCATGTCATCACATGACCAAAGAACTCTGTGTGTCTCCTTCTCATTGTTTTAGATAATGTTCTACATTTCGTTAGCCATTTCCAGGCAATCATTGTTAGTTATTCTGGCAGTCCAAGGTATTCGCAAGGATTTCAAATGGCACATTCTTCCAAAGAACCACATGTCAGTTGCCTCTAAACTCTTCTTAATTTTTTTCCTCACATTTCAAGTTTCATTGCTATATAACAGAACAGGCTTGATATAAAGTTTCAGTACTTTTTTCTCTGATGTTTAATGAGAGTGATTTATAACATAAAATTAAATTCTCAAATACTGTCTTTGACTGGCCAATTCTGCCCTTAATTTCTGTCACACATCGTCCATCTGATGCTATAAATGTCCCCAAGTACATGGATTTATTGACGTGGTTAGGTTCTTTTCCTTCTATTTCCATGTCACATTTTGGGGTTATCTTCTTTTGTGTTATAAAAATTGTTTCTGTTTTTTTTTTTACATTCAATGCAAGTCCCTTTTTGCACTCTCTAGTATCACAGCGCATAAATGCATTTGAATATAAATGTTACAGACAGGTTCTAAGAATATCTTGGGTAAAGAAAAGAACAAATGCATCCATACTTCAAGAGCTGAATATTGAAGAGGGTTGGCTAGTAAAGACAATAAAACAAAGAAAATTGAAATATTTTGGTCACTTGAAACGTCATGGAAGTCTAGAGAGAACAATAATGGAGGGGTATATGCCTGGGAAGAGAGGAAGAGGAAGGCCAAGGAGAAGATGGGTGCAGGATGTGGCAGATGATCTCCAGATGGGTGTATCAAACGCAGGACATCTTGCTCAGGATAGGAAGGTTTTCCGGAGGGTTGTTATGGCAGCGAGGTTCCGCGAGGGACATGCTACTGAATGAATGAATGAGTATCACAATGCCTGATAATTGCTGCAGGCCCTCTGTGTTTTTAGCTATTAACATTTCATCATCTGCAACACATCAATTAAGTATATAATTGAGGTTGTTAAGATGAGTTCCTCAGATGGAAGAAAAAGCAAGACTGAGTTTATGGTGAACTTTTGTTTTCCTTATTTAAAATAATGAGCATAACAACTCTCATTTGTCACCTCTTCTTGACCTACATAGTAGATGAGTCTCTTTCTATTACTGTTACCTTTGGCATACAGACAAGTGACTAGGAGTTCCCAACATCATCATCATTATCCTCCTGTGCCATTATGTTACATAAGGCTCACAGTCTAGTTCTCCATTCTGTTCAATCATATGCAATTGTTTTTTCTGTGGATGGAATCCAGGCTAGTTTCTTTGGCCTCTCTCAACAAGGTTCATTTCAGGACTTCTCTCGGACGTCCTTATTTCCTCAATCCCAACACATTTTTATTAATGTAAATTTACTTTAGACACTCAAACCTTTACCCACTCCACCCATAATACACACATGCATGCAGGTACACACTCACTCATACAAACCATACAACTGAAGGTTTGAAAAAAAAAAAAAAACACAGAATACCTTAAAAGGCACTTTGGTCTCTGTCTTGACAATTTCCGGAAAGGAAACAAACTTGTAAACAAACTTCTGACCCATGGACTTCTTGATAATATTTTTGTCGTAATAATAGCGCAGAGCCCGGCTCAGCTTGTCATAGTTCATGTTCTGTTTGTTCTTGCGAAGTCCCCATAGCCTGGCCACTTCTTCTGCATTCACCAGCTTGAACTCTCCCTCCTGGCTGGTCCAGTGGATAATGTTTTGGTGCTGATTGCTCAGCAGCAGCTCCAGAAGGAACTGCCACAGTGTTATGTTCGAATCCATGACTGGAAATGATAACAAATTAATTATACAGAAAACTGACCCTCTAAAATGCAACATCAAAGTAAATGCAATAATCCTCAAGCAGGTTTTATGTTTAAGTACTTGGATACCCTGACAACAGAAGATGGAAGATGTATTACTGAAGTTAATTGTAGAATAGCTAAAGCATAGGTAACAAGCATTTCACAAAATAAAGAAAATATGATGCAACCTTTCTTTGTCACTTGAGGAAAGAAAAAGAATTCTCAAGAGCTATATAAATTCTATCTTGATGTACAGAAGTGGATCATGAAGAGTTGGATGATTAGTAAAACATTATTTGGAAGTGGCAGAGATATGGTTTTATAGATGAATTATGAGAATACCTTGTCAGATAAAAAAGAGTAATGAAGATGTCTTGAAAGAAATTGACTCAGGAAGAGAACTGACTGCCCAAGACAGAAAGAACACCTTCATCAGAAGTATTCAAATAGCTGCCTATGGGCCAAACCTGGCCTACAGAGGCCTAGCAAGTGGCTTGCGGATTATTGCCAGATTTGTTGTACTAATGCTGAGGCTTAAGCATCTGGCCCATGATGATCCCCGTTGTTTACTCTTGAGCAAACTTAGCCCTGATTGAGCTGTGAGAAGAAGAAAACTGGAATACCTTGTGACAGTGGGAAAGTTGAAGTGGAAAAGAGGTAGAGGGGGGCTGAGAGAGAAAAGATGCTGGACAGTCTGATACTATGGCATGGGAGATCCACTGTGTCAGAAATGATTGAAAATACATGAGAGAGAAGCATTTGGACAGACATGACTACCAACGCCACAAGGCATTAACTATGAGGAGCAGGAAGGGAAGAAGAGGAAGATCACTCTTAGAGTGCTAATTACTGTATGAAAATATGAGTCTTAACACTATATGCTTGGGGAGCAGTGGTAGCGCAATAGCTGCCTATAAGCCTGGAGGTCTTAAGTTCGCATCAGCACCAGAACAGAAATTTTTTTTTTTAAAATGACATTAGCTTTCAGGTTGGCCCAGCCTAACAAGGCTACCAGGAAATCTCTGGGGAAAACGAATCAGCCGGTGCGATGTTTTTTCATTATATTTTGATTGCCAGTTAAGTCTATACAAAATATGGGTCTGGTATCATATGCCAGTGGCGTGAAAATGGTCCTTCACGTTTTCTTGAAAATCAGTCATTATTATCATCACCATCCTCAGCACCACTGTCAGCTTAATCATTGTCCACTTGTATCATTAGGCGCTGTGAGAAGGAACAGCGTGTGTGACTTACTCTCCATGGTGAAGTGGTCTAGCCACTGCCTTGTGCTCTGGAGACCATGCATTCATTTCAAGTCTGCATTGTTGGGTTCACAAGTGCAATTTGTACTAAGATCCCTGGGGATTATTGCTGGAGCTACAGTGTTCGAACTTTCTGTGATGCTCTCGGCAAGTGACAACCCATTCTGGAGAGAGAAGTCCTCAATCCATCTAATCAGTAAATCTTTATTATAGTCTTTAGCCCAAACTGGAAGGAAGCAATTGAAGCACAACTGTTAGCAAAACTGGTGGTCATAGGTTCAAATCCCTATTATAACTGGCCTAGGCTTGCAGGTTGATCCAGCTTAAAATAGCTGCCTGGAAATGTCTAGAGAAGTAAAGGTGGTATTCAGTGGCATAGGCACTCACGTGACTCTAAAGATCCCTGTCTCTGGTATTTAGATAATTCCACTGACGATATTTCACCATATCATTGCTTCAGGCTGTCAACCATCGTCTCTCTTGCTCTGCCTCTTCTGTCACTGATCTTTCCAATCCTCATGATGTTCTCCCATGCCTCTCTTCTCGTCAAATTACCAAAGAACACTGACTGCCTCTTTCTTATAGTTGTGTATACTTTTTATAATTTTCTTAGCTATTTCTGGGCAGTTATTTTTGGTCACCCAGTCCACATTATCAATAGTATGTGTCTCAGAAACCACATTTGGTCTGATAATGACTCAATCATAATCATGTCTGGCGCTTTAAGCCTAAAATGCCTCAAAAAGTAAAAAGAGTATTTTATCATTTGTTTACATGCTTAACTATTCACAGAATGTGAAGGAGAAAACAATAAAGAAGAGGAAGAGGACAGCAAGAAAAGGATGAGGGACAGACGATGAAAAAAGACACAGAGAGAGAGAGATAAGAAGAAGAAGAAGTAGAAGGAAAAGAAAAAAAAAGGAGAGAAGGTAAAGAGTGAAGAGAGAAAGATAACAAAGAAACAGAGAAAGAAAATGAAAAAGTAGAAGAAGAATAAAACAAAGGTGGGGAGGTAGGTGAGGAGGCAGATGATACTCATAAAATTTGCTCTATCCATGGCACAGCAAATTTAAGCCCCTGCACTACCAATTCTCACTCTCTATCTACAGACACACACGCACATATTTATATATATATATATATATATATATATATATATATATATATATATATACACACACACACACGAACACACAGTCACTTGCTGAGCAAACAAAAAACTCCTACTTCAGGCCTCTAGCCTTCTTGGGAGTACAAGAACATAAGTGTCACCTGCTCGAGTTATCTTCTTCAGATCGAAAACTAATTGTTATAATTGCACTTTCCCTGCGCAATTTAACAAGACTCAGGAGAGTATAATTGCACAGACATCGACTGGAGACTGTGTGTCTGTTCTATGCATATTATAAAGGAAATCTTTAGGCAAGCGTGCATGGAAACTTGTAATTCTTGAGAAAAACTGTCTATGCAGTTTGAAAGTAAAGGGTAGTATTGATTATTGCATTTAATGGTAACGTAGGATGTTAACCAAAGATCAACGCTATTTATTAACTCTTTCGGGATGCAGAGGGGATGGACCGCATAAAACCAAGGCTCATACTAGTCAAGATTTGTTTACATCGGTGGGCTCCAACCTTTTTCAGGTCACGTTCACTTTGAGTATATGGCAAGACCTCCACGCTTCCCTTGAGTATATGGCAAGACCTCCACACTCCCCTTGAGTATATGGCAAGCTCCCCACGACAGCCTTGAGTATATGGCAAGCTCCCCACGATACCCTTGAGTATATGGCAAGCTCCCCACGATACCCTTGAGTATATGGCAAGCTCCCCACGATACCCTTGAGTATATGGCAAGTTTCCCACGATACCCTTGAGTATATGGCAAGCACCCCACAATACCCTTGAGTATATGGCAAGCTTCCCACGATACCCTTGAGTATATGGCAAGCTCCCTACGATACCCTTGAGTATATGGCAAGCTCTCTATGATACCCTTGAGTATATGGCAAGCTCCCCACGATACCCTTGAGTATATGGCAAGCTCCCCGCGATACCCTTGAGTATATGACAAGCTCCCTACGTTACCCTTGAGTATATGGCAAGCTCCCCACGATACCCTTGAGTATATGGCAAGACCCCTACGATACCCTTGAGTATATGGCAAGCTCCACGATACCCTTGGGTATATGGCAAGCTCCCCGAGATACCCTTGGGTATATGACAAGCTCCCCACGATCCCCTTGAGTATATGGCAAGCTCCCCACAAAGCCAACCTTTTTTTTTAGCATATGGCAAGACACACACGCCTTCCCCACCAGCAGAACATAAAACAGAGGACAACACATTCTGCAATAAGATAACATACAGTTTAGAGATACGTAATGGCCAGAATTTATTCCTAATCTGTAATTAAATACGCCAGTTAACATATTAATTAGAGTGGAGAACACTGGTCTACACCCATCCGAGGTAATTCTAGAAAAGAGATTCGCAACCAGGGTTCTGACAAAAGTAGACAGGTTTGACGCTCCCTTATAATTTCTAGATCGACCCAGGTCAAATGAGTACCAGGAAATTGTCTAGGAAGTAAAGATGGCCGGCAGCATGTTGATCCTATGACCTGTAAAGTGCAAATTGGCTTATTAAATTATGAGTACATGTCCAAAGCCATCCACACTGGACTACAGGTTACTTTATAGCATATGCCCCAACGCGTCCTTTATTTTACACTTCACGCAGTATAATTTTTATACCAGGATTGGAACATGTCACCTCCAGTATTATTTACAATGCAATTTCAAGGAACTCGTGGAATCTGTGGGCTTCTAACTTTGCCTGTGGGATGCATATTTATAGTTCAGCGTTGAGGTGTGTGTGCGCGTGTGTGTATGTATGTGTGTGCGCGCGCACATATACACTAGCTGTACCCGGCCACGCGTTGCTGTGACCCAGTCTGGCTAAATGAAAAAAAAAAAGAAAATAGAAAGTGCATGTGTTAATTTCGCAATCATTGTCTGCGCAGATATACAGATAGTCTGGTTTGCCGACTTAAGACACGCAACATATAATTCTGTCCTTATTGTATTGGCCATGTAAAGTGCATTATTAAAATTAAACACAGATATTGTTTATCACATGCGCCGGGAATGCGGCAACAGAACAAAAACCGATGTGATCATCGCTGGGGCTATATGGTTTGTGCTTTGTGCGACATTCTTAGTTTAAAATTACGCGCTTAATTGAATGTAACGCTGTGTCAAAATTTGAAAGCAATCGGTGATGAACTTTCGGAGATTAGCTATTACTAACAGAGGAGCATTTACATTTTTATTTAAATAGAAAAGATATATAGAAAAAAACGTCGTGTTTTTTTTTTAAAGTGGGATCATTCAACGCTCTAATTTTAGCAGCAATGAGAGCAGCGTGTTGGTTCACAAAAACATACCGTTTTAAGGGAGAGATAGTTTTTTTTAATGTCCACTTTATGTGAATTTTCCGCACAGATTTTGGCAAACTGCTCCCTGAATCCGTGAAATTCTACGTAATTATTTCAGGCTTCGATAGAAAGAAGAGGACTGCACAAATAAGGAAGACGGAGAGGGAAGGAAGGCTGAACAGAGAGGTGAAAGAGGTGAAGAAGAAGAAGAAGAAGAAGAAGAAGAAGAAGAAGAAGAAGAAGAAGAAGAAGAAGAAGAAGAAGAAGCAGAAGCAGAAGAAGAAGCAGAAGAAGAAGAAGAAGAAGAAGAAGAAGAAGAA